CTGCCTTTTTGTACCTTTCCTCGGTTCATTAACCAAGAACAAAGGGGCGTACTATCTACATCAGAGAAAGGTACTCTTGTTCGGTACCTTCTGATCGGATGTTCTTTAACAGTTTCCTAATTACAACTCACAGCTAACGTATGAAGCTCTCAAAACCCTATCTGTCTTTATCGTTAATGAGACACGTAGGTCAATATCATTAACAGTGCTATTTCATTTTGTGTCCAGCTATTTTATTCGTGTAATATTGGTGCGCGAACAGGCATGGGACCAGAGTATGAAATGTAACTAGGACTTTTTCTATTTAGATCAAACTGCTTCGTAGGTTTAAAAGAACCCTTAAAACACAAAAATTCTAAGTCTAAATGTTTCTTTCAGAAATGTCTACAAACAAAAAAAAGCGAAAAATAAAATTAACAAAACCGTGTACTCATAATCTGGTCTGCAAAGGGGGACAAGACGTGGTTAGGGCGAAAGGAAAAAAACTAATTGCGTGACGTACTCGTGCATCTATTTTACAACCCCTTCTTTTGATCATCGGAAGCTATCTCTGTCATCAAAGTTATCTGCTTCAAACAGCTACTCGGCATTAATTTAGTTTCATCAACCACAAAGAGCAAAGATTTACTTTGTCATCGGGGCGCAAAAGTTGGGTGAACTTCGAATCCCCACGGCTATTACTTTTGACCTTTGACCCGAATGGTAATTGGCCGTTAAAGGCTCCCTTTAGACATTGAGCAAGTAACAGAAGCCCTACTGTTGAAGCGTTTCATTTTCTGGAAGCAAGTGATTGGAAGTTTTATTGACGTTGACTTCAATAAAGCACGCTTATTAATGTTTTTAAAGGGTCGTCATTTGCTACAGCGTGTCAGAGGGGTGGCCTGAAATACCTGCTCTTCAGGCAGGCCGCTTTCAGAGCCGTTTTCACCAAAACGTCTTCACGTCTGACCAGGAAGTAGGCAGTTATGTTTGCACCCAGTACCATGAGCGAGGTGGGCTGGTTGATTGCAAGATGGGACAAATGATTCCAAGACATGCCATTGATCAACCCAAAACATCTATATCTCGAGGAAAGTCTAAAATGATTTTAGTTCAAATGATACTGATCTCTCCCAAAGAGCGTATCTTAAAATCCAAGGGTTACGCCATGCCGTATTGGAACTGATTGCTATCCATTTCTTTACATGACAACTGACTCACGGTATCCTACAGTTATCTGTTAATCCTCGTTGTAGATCAGATTTTGACTCTAGATTATGAAATTCTGACTTTTGATTTTTAACTTCACTTTGTTTGACTGTCTTTTTTATTCGATTTCTTGATTCTCATTGATAGGTATGGGTACTTAACTGTACATGTAGGACCTACACTTTAAACAACAGTTTGGTGTTAAATTATGTCACCATCAACAGCATACAACGCGTATCCCGCAGGTCACCAATACTGTACAACATCCAACTGACTTTTCAAGTATGTGGAAAAACTCTTGCCATGGCACTGATACCTGAACTCGCCCTGTGCTGCAGACCATGAATGAAAACGGAGCAGTTCTCGTACTCTAGGTGTTTTTTTATTCCCTTAAAGTTAAAGAACAGGTGCGCAGAGAATTAGGGTTGCTTTGGGTAATTCTCAACCTCAACTAGAAGGCTATTATTTAGTCAAGCGTAATGCACTAGCGATGAATATACTAAATCAAACTTGGACTATAATTTGAAAACAAGGTTGCGCTTCTGGCAAGTCAGTGAGGTGAGCTTTCCACTGATAAATTCAAAATCTTTCACAGAATCATCCTTTCACCCCTAGGCTCTGGGTCAGTTAATAAACTCCCCTTTAAATCGGCATATACATGATGGTCATGAGCTATGTAGAGGAGAGTCTCGGTCAGCGATATGAAGCCCAGTCCCCACCCCCCCGGAAAACTTACGAGAACCCTGGACAGGGAGTGCATACATTTATCATACCTTCTGACAATGAGATTTATATTCTCTAAATTTGTTTGTTTTGGTTTCTGTTGCCTTTGTTTTCAGCTGTTTGGGGTAATATATAATAAATGTGATGATTTATATACGGACAAATATCTACAAATTCCATCTGCTTGATTATTTCGTCAAGTATTTTATTGCAATTACACAGTATTGAATTGCCTTCTAACTCCATATTTTCCTAAATAAAAATTTCTCGTTTCTTTCTGTGAAAATAAATTCATTAACTCTCGGTATGCTGTTTCTTCTCTTCTTTTCATAATTCCCCGCGTCATTTTACACAGAACAAAGTGCACCTATTTTGTTCTCGTAACAAACTAACGAAGCGTGATAAAAAGTTTACTGGCAAACTTAACAAGCATAGTGAGTCCATAGTCAAAAGTGAAATTTGAAGAATTCGGACCCAGTCAAGTCGAGTAACAGAACTGTTCCTTGGTCTTTGTTTATTTTCCTACTTGCGGTAACGACGGCACTTCGTGATGGCCAACACCACTTTACAACAGTAATTAGTGGAAAGCCGAATCCCAATTATAAGCCATGCGTGGAAAATTAATAGAATTTTCATCTGCGGCTTGCTCTTTAAAGTACCAAACACTGGCAACTTGGCGAGTTACTCTGCACATGGCAAAACTCATCAAGCTATACGTTTCATGATATACTTGTTCCGGGCCGCTGCCTAATATTAAGGGTTGTTAATGTGAATACGGTGTACTTGTCTCCAGTCCTCTACCGACCCGCCTTCTGCTGTTGAAAATACTACAGGGAAAGAGATCCTCATTTTAAACCGAATTCATTGTTTTTGCAGCATTTTGACGTCCGTTCTTAACGAAGAGCGTATAACATTTGAAGCCTCTATGAGCAAGGCACAGTAACATTCAGAACGCAACCTCAGCATAAACACTCAGCACGAGTTAGGATGCTTAATTGGGTGAAATGTCATCTACGCGTGGCAAAAGATGCCGGTTCGGCTTCGGTGACCTACAACTACCTTAATTTTGGTTTTTGAAGTTTTATGTTCTCTACGGACTACTGTGCTTTGTAGAAACCGCACTGCAGGAAGGCAGGCTCGCTAATTGGGGACGGGAGTAATAGAGGATGGACCGTTGACCTTATTCTGTTTATCTTATCTTCTTCAATAATCTTTCCTCGTTTAGGGATATTGGCTGTTTGTTTATCTAAATATATCCATCTAAATGATTGGGGCTGATTGGTGTTTAACTTGTAATTGTATCTATCCAGGAAGCCGAATATCAATAAAGTTAAAATTCACTGACACGTCCTTAATTATATTCAGAAAGACTTATGGATAGCTATAAACTGCTCCTCTCTTTCTCTCTCCCAATTTAATTAAAACTACCGCTTCTTCCTGTGGATCACCTACACCCATATAAAAAATTAACAACACACCCCCAAGCAACTACAACGCTTAATTACTGCGCCGAGAGTAAACGACACCCCAGCAACTGCCACATGAAACGCGTAACATTGAAGATAGAGCGAGCATCAACAGATTATCCAGTGGTACACTCCGCTGAAATTCTACGATAATTGTTCGCTAATTGCCTTCTCGCGTATGTTAGTGAAGAATTCACGATAAAGCAATAACCTTTAACCCAGCATTAATCCCGAATTTCTTCACTTGTCTCTTCCAATTACCTCAGTAGTTTGAGTTCTGAATGAAACGGTGTACTTTTCGCAGACGATAAAACCCCCGAGGGCAACCTGTGTCAAGACAGGCCGAATAGAGAGACAATTTCTTTTCAATTAACAGAAACTTCTGATACTTGAAAGGCAAGCTTAGATAAAAAATCAATTTATTTTCTCGACATTTTAATTCATATCTTCTCTGGTGATTTCTTTTTAACCACACCGCACCAAACACGCAGACGACTCGTGGCGCGCAAAGCACGCGAGAAAATCCCTACGGAGGTGAAATGTCTTAAATTTTCTACGTTTTGCGATATTGTTCATACTTTAAATTTTTACAAAAGATTAATTTTCAGAAGGAATTTCAGCTGATAGGGGGCTCACATGTTGCGATCTGAACAACATTGATAGTGAAATAAGGGCCTAAGGGAGTATCATGATGTCGGCAAAAAGCGGAAATCCTTCAGATGAAAAGCTGTAGTTTATGGCCGTTTTATGAATATGTGTCTGTATTCGCCCCGTGAAGCAAGTATTATTTTCGCGTTCTGCTTACATACAATCGGTCGTTTGCAGGGAAAAGGAAAGATGGGAACCCCAAATTTTGGGGTAGGCCTACTATATGCAATGGCAGCGTGGGGGTAAAAAAAAGGGGGTAGGAATAATCGTATATCACAGAGACAAAAACGAGGAATCTCAGCAACTTACACTGAAGATTATATAGAGTTTGAATTCCTGGAATTTCCAGAATGAGAAAATATTCTCAATGCCAAAAGTCAAAAGCAAGTCTTGAAATCGTTACTTGTGTGTGTGTGTGTGTGTGTGTGTGTGTGTGTGTGTTTTAACAAATGGAAGATGAATGAAAGGACAAAAGGATAAGCGGTTGAGAAGTAGGCACTAATGATAATGTATAATAATTGCTGTGAATGTAAAAATAAAACAATCAATTACATTTTCATAATTCTAAATATTTCTAATGATTAACATAAAGTTGGAGATTTGACGAGATGAAAATGATTAGAAAATTATATATATTAAGAGGTTAAAATAGCCATTAAAAATTACTATCACTGAGTGAAATGCATCTCTCCTGGTTCACGTCCTCACGCGTCGTTGACAGCAGGCATATTTGCGAACTAAAATGGCCGCCATGTTTATGGAAATCCCAAGATAGGAAACCTGATTTACTTTCAAAATTATATGGATATCTTTATTGTGATTTAAAATCAATTTGTTTCACTTCTCTTTTTGGAGCGATTTCTACTTCTCAACTCAAGCATAAATTTAGGTTTGATTAATTTCAGTTTAGTAAATACCATAAACACCACAACGTTAATTATTAATTGTATGACTCAAAACTACACATTTACTCACCTGAATCTCTGAGAAATAATCCACACCCCCTTGTCCAATGGGGCTAGTGTCCGTTCATTGACCACGCCCCCTCCATTCTCCACACAGAAAAAGCATAACTCAGTCTTTCGTGGGCAACGTAACTACAGCTGGCCAGTTTATTATCGGCGTCGTCGGAACGTAGAACCTGGTACAAAAAGTCAATGTATCTCGTCGCCAACTTCAGAGTCTGTATCTTACTGAGTTTGTCTGATGGGAGTGTTGGGATGATTTTCCGAAGTTGTGCGAAGGCTTCGTTGAGAGATTGAGTGCGCTGACGCTCTCGGACGTTGGCCAGCACGCGCTGGTTCTGAATGTCTTCAAAGGTCTGGGGCACCTTGCTGCCACTGATGCTGCCGGCCTTCTTTCTCTTGATGCCTCCCTCTCCCTGGTTGTCTAAATCCGTCAGCTCAAGGCTGCCACACGAGTCTGGCGACATGCTTTTACTGTAGGGTCTCTTCCTCGCTAACCGCTTGTCGTCCACAAATTCCCTGGAATCGCCGTTCTCCTGGGAGTCCGAGCTCTGCTGGCTGTTGTCCGTGTCGTAAGCGTCGCTGTTGTGGCTGATAACAGGCTTCTGCTCCGGTACCATCATATCGGAAAGAAGTCCTGGAATTCTGAGGGCCACTGAGTTCCTTTCACTGTACAGGTGATTTCCTAGAAACAGTTCAGATATTATAATAAAATCTGAGTCTGTGATGTTGGCGTGGTCGAGGACCACACGACCATAGAGGATAAATATAGACGCAGACAAACACCGGCCGAACACTGCTCGAGTCTGTAACGTTTCTCGGTTTCAACTGAACTCCCGTCACAGCGGGTCGCCGTCAGATACGATCGCAGCTGAGAGTTTTTTACGTTGCAAAAAAACTTGACTCCTCTCCTCGGCCGTGTTCTAATTCTGAAAGCACTCGATGTGTTTCCTGCTCTGTGCCTCCTATTTAAAATCTTTCCCTCCTTTACTGAGCAGTGGCCTAGATTTTCAGCTCTACGAGTTTGGTTTAAACTTAGCCTTTGCGCGTGTCTCAATGGATAAAAACGTGTCCTATGCTCGCTCGCGCTCACGGTCGCTGACAATCTCGTGTAGAAGTGACTGAGGTGTTTTCCCACACTGTCGGCCTTTTCTGCTGAGGCCTTGGTCGCTTACAGCATCAAGTGGATTAAGTGTGATTTGATTGGACGTTTGGGATGCTTTGATACCAAGTTTGTTTTAGGGGGAGACAGAAGAGAAAACAAAATTTGAAGCGGCTGTACTCCGTTACAGGTACTTCCAACGTAGGAAGCCAGCGTTAACATAATAATAGCAGGTTTGGGTAAAATCAAGTTATATATTATGCTCAATATACACAAATGAAAAATCAATTGATAATGATTTAATTCTTGCTTGTTTTGTTTAAAAGTTTTGAAAGTTTGAACCCATTAATCGCCCCTGGTCTTTCTCAGATCAAAACATTTCAAAACAGTTTACTTTCCCACAATTTAATCCTTTTGAAAGCAGACTTTTTATGTGTATCGAAACCGATTTCCAGCAGATAGGTAGAGAGTGGAAATATCTTACTGCACCCATCCGTTAGTTAAATATTTTTTAGTATTGTCAAAAAAATCCATCAGATAAACCAGCGTGCAACGTGTCACCGTGATGTACTTGTAATGACTTATGTACTTGTAATGACTAGTGACTGATGATGTATGATCACCAATTTATATATTCATAGCCATGTAGATTAAGAATGATAGTCAACACTTAACGTCTGTCCATTATGAGTTAATTTCATGAAAAATGTAAATAGATAATGAATTAAAAAAACACAGTTGCCCTCGTATCTATACATAAGAGTGCCTCCATAATTCCCTCTCTCCTTTTGTTTTGTATTTAATTGCTGTCTCATCCTCTTTATCTACCCGTGTTTTCTTATTATAATGTATTTACGGTTGTACAAAAAGTTAAGATATTCTGGCAAAGAAACAAGTTATCATAAACTTGCTTCATCGTATCTCAGTGACACAAAGAAGCAATAAAACATCTGTGTGGATTATGGACACTCCTCCCACCAATATATACTTGTAGTTTATGGAGGCAGTTGTGCAGTTTTTCTTTGTTTTCTACTTTGTATTTTATTCTACTTTGTATTCTAAGAGCACATTAACAGAAATGAATGGACAGTATCTGTGTGTTATGAGGCTAGGAACTTATGAGTGCTATTTTTAACGTTTCGTGGAAAGACGTGTGTAATCTATTTAGTTTATCATATATCACTTACTGAGTAAAACATCTTGAAACTTAATAAGATTAATCACATATGATGTTTGTTCATATACCGGTATGATACTTCATGTGCACTTGCTGTTTAACATCATTTCCTCCGTCACACAAACGTTTCCCCTAAAATTCCGCGACCTCGCCGTCACGTCAATCAAGTCAGAAGGCGATGAAGTGTGTCCCCGCCCTCTTTGTGTTGACGACCGTGATCGAGTTGTAGCGGGAAGAACACACACACAATCGGATTGACACTTCTAATCCAGAGTCAACAGTCCACTATGAAGTGTATTGTTTGTTTGTTTCCTGTTGATATTCATCTCCCGTTGCTGTGTCCGGTGGAAAACAGTAACCACTCCACTGTGACGATGACCCCAGCGCGCAACAGGTGGTCCGCCGATGATGCGAGAGGTATTGTTTTACGCGCGCACCTGCAAGGAAATGGCCCGGGCGTTGATTTGCCCTGAGAATATTGCTCTTTGTAGTTGAGCCATGACCTTTATTCTGTTTTAAGCTGCAGGAAACTGTCCGAGCTTGTGACCCGTGGAGATGGAGGGGTTTAATCTTTGTTTCAGATCTCTGACTTTGTCGCTGCGGTTTCTGTCAAAGAGGATGTTTGACGGCTTAAAATAATGCATATGACAACAGCTAGACGTCGTGAAAATCTTCAAACCAAAGAAATAAAATCATTCATGTCAGTTTCCGATGCAAATTACTCTCCTTTAGAATGACATTCACCAAAAAGCTACTTTCCTTTACTCAAACAGTAAAATAAATCAGTTAAAGATAAAGCGAGTTTAAGTGCAGGAAACTCTTTGTAGCAGCCTTTGTGGTCACTATTACGTTATGTTGCTCAATACCAACTTGTCTTGGCCCGTTCACTGAAAACATTGGATCTTAATGCATTTTCCAGATCATTTCTTACTTACTTTTCAATCAGTCGTCCCGATTTTTTCGCCAGAACCTGATAAAACCCACATGGGTTATCTAGAATTTCGATCTTTTTGCTAATATCTTGACATTGTTACATATTTCTGTCATGCATTCGTAATTAACAATAACAGAAATACGCTCTTTTTAGATAAAATGAGTTCATTATTCCTTCGAGTAAAAATGTATTGAACTTCACCAGATTTGTAACAATAGAAACAATCTTAAGATGGGACATTTCAGTATTTTCAATCTGTACACGTGTCAGCTCTGTTTCCCCATAAATCTTTTTTTTTTTTTTTACATTTTCATCCTTTCTAAATACATGTAACTTCAATAGAGTTAAAATATGAGGTGCAACATGTTTTCTTTTTTCACCATTTCGTCGAACAAAACCATGTCACATGGCGAAAAATTTACACGGACAAGATCAACGACAATAAAACCCATTTCACTCCAAATTATGCATCCGTTTTTGATTATCTAGTTTTTTAAAAAAAATTTTATCATTAATTGAAATACTCTACTATTATGTACAGTGTATGTCGGATTTCCTAAATCCTAAATTAAATCATTAGTAATTAATTCAAACCGTTATTTGCAGAATAAACAAATGTGGTCCACCTCGCTGTTAAAATATATAGGCTACTAAGACTTAGACGATGGGAAAAAGCATTTGTATACATTTTCAGATTCTTTTTAAAAATCAACTACCACATTATAAAGATTTCTGTTATAAAATCGGTCTCGTGCTTATTACTTTTATCCATTATATTATTCTCTTCATTATTATCTACAATATAAATTCATTTCAGGAGTAGAAATCTTGTATATTGTGTCAGGAGAAACTTGACATGTTGAGTAGGTACGGGGGTAGAGAATGCTCACTAATAAATGTACGGCCTCATCTTAGGATTGGACCCCATTCTCCTGGCATCATTTAAACAGGCCGTAGCCGGGGATGGGGGTGGGGGTGGGCAGAGGGGGGGGGGTATGGGGGGTCGAAAGAACCCCCCCTTTTTCTGGGAAAAGGTACCCTCTAGGTAAAATTTTATCTAGGTACACAAAGGTTTTATGGAAAAAAGGTCCACTTCTTCAGGAAAAGAAACCCCCTTTTGAAATTTCTGGCTACGAGCATGTCATTAACTCGCACATGTACATGTATCTACACTGTATATGTACTGTATAGGTATGGTTTAATTAGCAAACTGCTTGTGTGAATTATAGCCGAGACACAAAGAAAAGAAAATCAAAGTATCTTAGATAATAAAAATTCAAACCATATGATATTAGTTATATATATATTTCACTGCATTGCGTTCATTGTGGTTATACAGTAGTTATGAAGGCTATGACGACGCTCTGTGTTCATCAACATTTTTCGGTTCAATTAGAGTGGACAGATAACAAAGGCAATGCATTTCCATTACCTGCGTTATTACCTGTGCAGTTCTCAAAGCAAAAATTCATATCCCCGGGTGTCGATGGCAAGTGCAATCAAGAAAAAACTTTCGTATCTGCGTCTTCAATGATGTCATATCACATACATGTTTCCAAACGGAAAAGGTCCAGCAATTTATTATAATCTTATCGTTTGTGCCTTTAAACTGATTTTTAGATGTGTGATATTATTACCGTACGCATACAGATGTAGTTTCATTTTGCTTATTTGCGCAAAGTGAAAGTACAAAGAAATCACTTTCAGTAAGCATCTACTTGGTTAAGAAGGGACTTAAAATCGTATTTTGGAAATGTTTATTTAGTTTGTCAGTTGAAAGAGCAAATGGCGGTTAACAGGAGAAAAATATCGAGGATGCCAAGGATATACGCTATTTCTTTTATTTTTCGCCAAAATCGAACGTAAGATTCCTCGAAGAGGAATTCACACGTTTTTATCGCGCTTGTGTTTATTTTCTACTTTAAAACGGATGTGCCGCCCATTTCAGAACATTATATAACAGCAGAAAAAAATCTGCTTTTATTTCAAGTCATTAATCGCTCTTAGCGAAAACAGGCTTTATTTTTAGACGCTCGCATGTTTTCGAATTCCTCAAATACGTGCGCAAAAACTTAAAGCAGCTTTCCAACATTTTTTCTCCCATCCGCGTATTGAGTGCATCTCATGTTATAACATATTGGTAAATGTAGTATATTATGAAATCAAACTCAGTATGTTACTTTATAGGTTATAGAATGTATCATGTATAACACGGGGACTGTGTTGATATGTTTCTGTTTGATTTCTTCATCTCTTTAATCTTTATACTTTCATATCTTTTTAATGCTGAGTGCAACGTGTTTAAGGGAAACTAGAATAAAGCAGGTTTTATTCTATAAATTTTAAAACAAATTAGTTTTAGAAGCAAAAAGACTGATAACATGGCGCAAATATGACTAATTTACAGTACTTGTAGGTATTAGGTAAAAGTGTTTTTATATAAAATTGAAAATATTTGAAATCAAACAAAAATAAGATCATTTTCTCATATTTAACTAAATGCATGCGTTGTACATTGTGACTCTATCAAATGAAGTCTATGTTGCCCTCATTATATCGCCGAGTGTGCAGTAGAATCTCATTATCTGCCGTCTTATTTATGACGTTTCCGTCTTATTAGTGACGTCTTATTTGCACGTCGTCAAATGCTGTCAATACCCTCTACCAGGACCACAGAGTTTTTTTTTTAACTAGGTATTCTCCAATTCTGCCCACATTTCTGTACTCAGAAGGAATAAAACGTTTCGTTCGTCCAAGCATGGGAATATATCTATAATCTACGACATATTTCCATGGTCCAAGTGTCCATTGAGAATTTTCACACAAAAATGACAAATGTGACGTCACCACCCAGGTGGCCCGTGGTAGAAAATATACTGCCCCTGTATCAGCAAACATGCCCTCTCTTTACATATATCAGATCGTTGTGAAGTGGTCTCCGCTAGA